CGTGCTGATCGTTGATACCACGAGTTGTTTGATTTCTAGTAGTACAGTAAGCTGCGAACGGAAACCGCTCGTTGTGCTACTCATTTTCGTGAGGGAAATCGATCTTTTCCCCAGACGCTAGGTTGTCAACCCATCATTCAACTAACTTGACTAAATTTGCCTTGCTTTAGCCTTATTTTCATTCCCTTCTTATTATTTGACCGTTTAGGGTTTCGTGAATCGTCGCAAAGGGCTATGATGATGGTTGATAGTTTCTTGCGAAGCACTACATAGAGCGCCATATACAGTGCCTCTATGCCTGAGCCGTGCGGTTAAAATGATTATCCTCCCTAACGGCTATCCCATAGATGGATTAGGCGAAATATATAATCCTATTTTTATGCGTTAGCTGTTAAGATGGTGGCTTTAAACTCTACCATAATCGCTGGTACTTAGTGACTGTTACTCGTGACAAGTGATCGCTTTATTTTCTACTTGAGTGAGGAATTAAATCATCACTATGCTCTTTCAGCCATTGCTCAACGATAAGTGAGTATAAGGAGAACTATATGAGGTAGCGACAGCCAGCAAAGAAGGATCCTATGTCAAATATTGCCAAATAAACTGAGTTGTTTGATTAATCGCCGACTAATCACGAGAACTACATCACATTTAATGACCATACGTTTGCATGTCACAGTCAAGCCCGTAACGAATTAGGACACAGAAAACATCTACTTTGATTAGCGCAACTTCATAAGTTAAGTTAAGTTCATTCAGTGAAGTTATAATTATGTCATAACGAACTTGTTATCAGTCTTGTGATGACCGATTGAAATTCCTCGAGACGGTTCGTTACCCGCATTGTTAGACGATCTACTGAGTCAAAATCTCGTTAAATTGCGACGGATGCTGATTGCACAGTAAGTAGAAGCTTTCGAAACGAGAAATTATCAGAGGAAGAAACAGTGCCAAATTGCAATCATGCTAATATGCAATAAAATCTAATGTTTGTCTAGCGGAAATTATTCTTTTCCGCTGCAGTGCATGATACCAAAGAAGTATATGGCATGCCGTGTGATGCCCCAATGTGGAGCAGATGTTAACATACGAAATACTTGTAGAAAACATGACGGACAACATTCTAGTTCCGTTCTGTATTCCACTTTCCTTTTCGCAAGGGCAATCAGGATCGACTTGGTTATATGCTACTAGAACAAAAAGTTGAGGGCAAAGCAGAGGTTCTGCTCTTGGCAATCTTCACAAAAATTGGCATCCATCTTTCCTTCTAAATATTTCTGCATGGTCTGCTCTTCTCACAAACCTACTACGCCTTCTACTTTGAGAAGCAGTTAAAATGAGGGAGCAGGTACCATCTTGCCATATTTTATATTAAGGAAGATGCAAAATTAATGCATAAATTCGCCCTAAGTTTGCTGAATCAAACATTGAGTTCAGCTGCAACCGAGTTGAAGCAATGAGTTAAAAACTCATCATTCATTCAGTTGCTGCCAGGGAACCGAGAACACTTGTAAAGGTTTATCACAATCGATATTCGTCGTTGTGACATAGTGGGTAAGAGATGTTCTTAAACTCCGCAGATTCTGAGTTCAAATTCCTTCAGTGGATAGTCTTTGACGTTACCATGAATTTCCCTTAGGAAAAAGTAATCCCGCGTTGCTTTGGAGCAGGCAGCTGAGAAGCAGACAGTAAGTCGATGAAAGGAATTAATGGAAACTGTGGTACTCGGTCCAATCATCCTATAATAGACAAGGCCGTATAAAGCCGCTTTATTCAACGGCTTCAATTTGCTTTGATCCATTTGATAGATATCCAGTGTAATAATCAACACAAGAGGTATCCTTGATTTCGATAGGCGTTTCCTACTTTTTTCCTCAGCCCTATTTTATGGAGCCTTCTACCAGCTTATCCATGATTTGGCGATTCCAGCTTACATTTGCCCATTTCATGCTCTTGCTTTAGGCAAATGATTCTCGCAGATGCTACGGTGCGCACACGAGCATGAATAAAATAATTTTAAACTCTAATGGTAAATAAAGCAGAACGGATTAAGCCTTAACGGAAGCTAGCTTCCTAAACATCCAATAATTTTCTTCAAATGATAGGATGATTTCTAATTCTGGTCAGTAGTTCGTTGGCCACTAGCAAAAACTTTATATTCTGTGAAAGCTGCAAGCATATTCTCTCTTTTAACAACTGGCCATGTAATCAGCCAGCTTTGAAAAAATTTTTCAATGATCGCATGCGAACAAAACGTCATTCAATTACTTCATCAGACTTTGGCTTACCGCCTGTTTCAGGAATTGTGTACGTTCCATCATAAGATCCATAACGATAATGAGAAGGTACTAGATTACATCTAATCTTGTCACATCATTTTCTAACATTGGCCGTTTTCCGCACTTTACAAAATGAACAGAAGGCACTGATGCATCTTACTGTACACGAGATATCAAGTGTTTCTACGGACATCTGCGCTTCGCGATCTCCAGCTGTCTCTCAGATATAATTGTGCCTTATGGCAGATCAACAGTGTCGAGCATTATCCACTGCATTCGTTGACGTTTGAGATTTATTGGTAACATCATCCACTGAGAGGCTTAGTCCTGGATGTTTATTTTACTCTGTTCGGTAATGGAAGCAGGCTCATTTTGCAACATCGGAGACTGGCTTAAGTGATCTGTATGCAACAGATCACTTTCCTACGACTTTGCCTTTTATTTATGTAGTTTCGTGCACACTTGAAAACAAATCGATCGATCCATTTGAAACAACGCTCACAGAGTACAGGCACGGTGATTTTAAAGATAGATTTTGTTTTCAAGTACTTGTAGGCAAAACAATCATTGGCACAAAAACGCCTATATCGAAAATACGCCGATCAAACAAATAAGTAATGAGTCGAAAAAACCGTTCGTCATGGACTTCAATCGATGAAACGAAAATCGCGGATTCTGCTTCTCATCGAACGGTCGATCGAGTAAAAGATTAAAAAACACTGAATCACAAACTACAGCGCCGGGTTCGAGAAAGGAGGCTTGCCTGCTTGAACATGGAAAGCCGCGGAGTGCGATCGAGCACTCTTTGCAACTAACGCTTTTGACTCCTTCTTGTGCCGCATGTTTTCTGCCAGCATACCTCCGGCAAATCCGGCTCTCCAACGATGTCTTAGGTGAATGGGCATTGGTTCGCTGGACGACCGTGGGTGACAACGCCTGGTGGCCGAAAATAATTTTTCAGCACAGATAATCAAAGGCACTGCTAGAATTGCGCAGAAGAATATCATCGCTATCCACGGTGGAAACGGCAGTAGAAACGATTGAGACTGTTGCACAAAATTCATCCTATGTTCTCCGTGAAGCATTTTTCCCTGCTGCTGTTGTAGAATGACCCCACAAAGTCGGGACGTGTAGTTAATCAAGTGGTTGAACCACAGGGTCTTGTGTGATGTGCTGAGCGCCGATATAACTGGATCGGTTTCCATTTCGGGATACCGTAGCATAAATTTTGGAGTCACAAACGGCAGGAAGTAGCCTTCGACCGAATTGATGCTAGAATTTATAGCATTTCCCAAGAGCAGTGTGATGAAAAGGTCAATGTAACAGTAAGAATGCTTCATCCACGTTTTCCAGACCATGAAAGGGAACTTGAAAGAATTGCTCAACAGATCGCGGTCAAACCTTTCGGTCAGATACCTGAGACAAGCCCGGTCGGTGTGGATCGCATTCCGCTCTGAATCATACTTCAGTAGCAAAATCGCGATCTTAATTTCGGTACAGTTTTCGGTGATCACCTGCTGCCGATGACAAAAGCAACTGGACAGTTTACCGCTGCATTTGAGATAATGCCTGAGAAGTTCTGCC